ACCGAAACGTATTTTGATTGATAAATAGAGACAATAAATGACTGAAACCCAGGAATGAATTTGATTTGGAATTGAAACACAGTCAGAAAAGTATAGACATTTGTTACGATTGACGTCGTTATTTGCGGAAAATTAACCGACTTTTCGCTGATGGGTCCGGACGAGTTCGGACGCTGTGGGCAGTTGCCATGGATACGCGCCACCAATGTGTCAAAGTCGTGCATGTACCAGGGCGCAGCGAAAAGTGTGCAGTGAAGGATAAAGAATAATAATGAATAAACGGGCAATTTTAATATACTTTCTCCTTTACTGGAGCAGTGGAGCATTTGCTGAAAAGTAAAAAGCAAGTATGAATAATTCGGCATGTGATAGCTACCTATACTGACGGCGCCGTATACGTAATTACAATTTCTAATGCAAAAACCCCAGTGGAGTGAGCGATTTTCCATATTTTCTGCCATGCTTATTAGAGTGCGGTCTGTTGCCGTTGTTTTATTCCTCTTCTACGTGAAGAAACTTCACTTTCTTCGCCGATTAATCACCACTCGCACATGCATAATACGGATTTGTCCATTGAAAAAATCGAAATGCGAATCGATTGACCGAGTGAAATGCACACAACACTCACATGCACGTATAGATTCGCTCATTTACCCAACAACATTCACTAGATGAGACTTTCTTCTCGGCAACGAGGAACCGAAAAAAACCTGGTCAACTGCAAAGTCGCAACTTTTTATTCGCTCATTAATTTCAGGCCTTTTCTCCTCGCCGGTATAAATATGCTTCGGGACCGACGGCAAAGAGGATGCCGATGGTGCCTTTACGCGACTTCCCGGCCAATAAAATTATCCGAAGACATTTCAGGGGAGTTTTTGCAAACGGTTCCCATCTGGTTTACAGTTTGAGTCGGGGCTGAGTGTTGAAGTTAGAATGTCGTTGGGGTTTCATCGCCTCCACCTATCGATGTTCTGACTGTACGGCGGTTCGGTCACAATGTCTTATGAAAGTCGTGTCCAGTATATGGGGAGATTCAAAATTGGCCCCACTCCTCTTGAGGGAAAACTATTTTAAAAAATTTCTAGAAAATTTTGACAGGAAAGCGTGGGCAATGCAAAGGAAAATTTTGGATCTTCACAAAAAACCTTATAAGTACCCGTTGTGTCTGATCTGTCCCTTGAAGTCAGAACATCGATAGGATTGGTGCGCCCTTCCACCATCGACGTTCTGACTTCGATGCCAGTTCGGCCCTTCATCCAGCTGTAGCTGGCAGGAAAAAACAGCCATAATCGACTGCATTTGAAGCATTTGTAGAGTTTCTGGTCGCTCTATGTATAATAGGCGGTAGCTTCCACCTGTGAGCACTAACGATCCGAGAACGGGCACCCGAACAGGTGGTACCGCGGCACACTCAGCAGCAGTCAGTCAGTTGTTTTCTTCGGCAGCATCGACTTGGCGAGCGGACAAGTACCAGCACCGTTTATTCGTTCCGATCTAACGGCGATTGATCGATCTTCGAGATCCACCCGAAATTGCGATTGTGCCCCCACAAACTAGACACTGGATAAGTGCCGAATGACTCTTTTGATTGGTTGGTGACTCTGTTTTTTGCGCCCGGATCCAATGGATTACTACGCGAATTTTGGATAGTGGCGTTAGGTGAGTGGAAAGTAGCTACCTTTGGATAGTAGCTAGTGTGTCAGCTGGCCGATATTGATTTCGATCGGTCCTGGTACCGAGTTTTTGAGCAAAGAGGGATTCATTGCGCTCTTTTTCCTCAAAGTCGAATCGCGATCATTCTCGAAATTCTAAGCGAATTTTCACCTTCCCATTAGCATCAGCCAATCACCTTCAGGGGCGGATCCAGCTATAAATTCAAGGGGGGTTTATGGAGAAAAAGTACAGTCCTCTGCTGTCTATGAAATTAGAACAATTATCCTCCTTTTGTGCAAGGGTGGCGTAAGATTATTGTAAAATTTCATGTTTTCAGTTCCGTTTTGCATGTTTCTCGGAAGCAAAATGAGCAAGAACGCTCGTTTTTACATCATTCCAGAGATAACTAAATGGCCTTTATTCGAAGTTTC